CTCGTGCTCTTTTGGGGCCGTCGCCGAGGTTCGCGCCGAGGTTCGAGCCTCGAGGGTCGAGGTTCGTGGCCTTCTCTCCGTCGAGGGCTTCCCCGTCGCCACGGCTGGGCGCAGCTCGAAAAACTGACGACGACGACGCAGAGAACGACGGTTTCTTGGGGGCCTCTGCGGCCAAGTACTTCGTGTCAGGTGTATTTCCTTGCACTGGCCGGCTTGACAATGGATTCACCTATCCACCCGCGCTCCCACGGAGCGATTGCGACACGACGTACGCAAGATCGAGGGGCCCACTGATAAGGAACCCCCAGATATTCCCGGGACCCTTCCGAACAACTCCACGGACGGAGTGCGCATCCCGAAGCTGCATCGGCTCAAAGAACCGAGGCCGCTTGCGGGCGTCCGTGTTGCCAGGGTGGCAATGCCTGATCCCGCTGATAACAAAGAGGCCCGCAAGAGGGCCAAACGCGCGAGCGATGAGAGAGTGATCAAGGAACGGCAAAAATAGCAAAAGCGGGAGCTTGACCCGGCTGACAGCAGCGACCTGGCGGAGGCCGCGCCACTCGCTGAGGCGGCAGGCGCCCAGATCGCGCCTGTCGCTGAGGCGAGTGCCGGAGACGAGGGGGGCGCCGCGGAGCGTCCCGCGGAGGCGGACGAGGGCGCCGCTGCCGCGGCGGCTGCCGGAGACGAGGGGGGCGTCGGGGCCGTTCTGGCGAACGCAGGTGCCCTCGACATCGGCCGTCCTGACCACGCCACCGATCTCTTGATTGAAATGAGACTTCGCAAACACTGCAGGCGACAGTTTGTAATCGCGAATCGCCACCAATGGCGTACGCATTGTCTCCAGCAGGCCGCCGATGTTGCAAAATTGTTCGCGACTCCTTCCTGTCGTAGCAAACTGGGAAATTCGCGCAATGCCACTGCAGCGATGGCGTAGCCGTGCTGCTGGAGAAACATTGGACAGAAGCCGTCGAGGGAGCCGTGCCCAGCTGCTCTGATTCTCCAGGCTCACGCCACATCCGCCGACCCCTTGATTCGTACCGGCGGCTATCGCCGCGTGTCCGCCTTCACTGCTCGTAGCTGCCAGGCGTTACAGCGCAGTGGCAAGTGCCAGAAGAAAAGATTGAGAGGCATGGCAAAGCGCATGGAAAAAAGAACGGAAGAGGAGTAGTCGGAGGTGGAGGAGGAGCAGAGGGAGGAGGAGGAGGATGAGGAGGATGAGATTGAAGAGGATGAGGAGGTCGAGGATCAGGTTGAGGAGGATGAGGAGGGTGAGGTTGAGGAGGATGGCGAGGGGGAGGGCAGTCTTGGTTCGTTTTCGGGCCCTTTGCTCCCCCCGGCGGCGTTCGAGCCGGGGCCAACCGGAGCGCGGATGACCCCGGCTCGAACGCCTCTGGGCTATTTTGGGGCTGTGTTGGAGGCCTCCAGGGCCGTCTGGGAGCGTCGGAAAGCCCAAAAGGCAAATTTGTGAAAAATGTACGTTTCAGGAAGGGAACGGGCCAATTTTTGCGCCGAGGGGCCCTCCTGGGGGTCTCTTGGGCAGTCTTGGGACCATCTTGGGCGTGTTCGAACGCTGGTTTGGCTACTCGGGGCCTTCTTGACCGTCTCGGGGGCCCCTTGGTGCGCTCTTGGTTCGTTTTCGGGCCCTTTGCTCCCCCCGGCGGCGTTCGAGCCGGGGTCCACCGGAGCGCGGATGACCCCGGCTCGAACGCCTCTGGGCTATTTTGGGGCTGTATTGGAGGCCTCCAGGGCCGTCTGGGAGCGTCGGAAAGCCCAAAAGGCAAATTTGTGAAAAATGTACGTTTCACGAAGGGAACGGGCCAATTTTTGCGCCGAGGGGCCCTCCTGGGGGTCTCTTGGGCAGTCTTGGGACCATCTTGGGCGTGTTCGAACGCTGGTTTGGCTACTCGGGGCCTTCTTGACCGTCTCGGGGGCCCCTTGGTGCGCTCTTGGTTCGTTTTCGGGCCCTTTGCTCCCCCCGGCGGCGTTCGAGCTGGGATCCACCGGAGCCCGGATGACCCCGGCTCGAACGCCTCTGGGCTACCTTGGGGCTGTATTGGAGGCCTCCAGGGCCGTCTGGGAGCGTCGGAAAGCCCAAAAGGCAAATTTGTGAAAAATGTACGTTTCACGAAGGGAACGGGCCAATTTTTGCGCCGAGGGGCCCTCCTGGGACGCATCTTGGAGGCCTCTTGGGGCCGTCTTGGGCCGTCTCGACGATCGGGTGTCATTGATCGATCCTTGATATTGAAGGAGCTCTCTTGGAGGCCACTTGAAGCGCTCCTGGAGCGCTCTTGGGGCCGTCTTCGGGGCCCTCTTGGGCAATCTTGGGCGCCTCTTGGGCTGTCTTGGGGCTCTCTTGGGCTGCCTTGGAGCTTCCCTGGAGGCTTCTTGGACCGTCTTGGGGCGGTATTTAGGGCCTCTTGGGCCGTCTGGGAGCGTCGGAAAGCCCAAAAAGCGAATTCGTGAAAAATGTACGTTTTACGAAGGGAATGGGCCAATTTTTGCGTCTAGGGACCCTCGTGGGACGCATCTTGGAGGCCTCTTGGGGCCTCTTGGGGACCTCTTGGGCCGTCTTGGAGGCCTCTTAGCCCGTCTTTGAGCCATCTTGGGCGTCTTGGAGCGCTCGTTTGGCGTCTCGGGGCTCCCGTGGGCCGTCTTGAAGGCCTCTTGGGGCCATCTTGGCCCGTCTTGAGGCTTCCTGGGGCCCGGAAAAGCCCCGGCGGCGCTCGTCCCGGGCCCCGGCGGCGCTCGTCCCGGGCCCGGGGGGGGGGGGTCAAATCGCCGGTTTGGGGTCCCGGGGGGGGGACTATAGGGGGGGGAACTATCTCACACGCCTAGAGACCCACAAGGGGTCGGCGGATTTGTTCAGCGGCTGAGTTATCCTCCATCCTGTAGCTGTGCAAGTACGTCCTGCTGAGGAACACATCGCCACCCTCGTTGGCGCGAGGATCCTTCGAAAGAGAGACGAGTTTGCTCGACTTGCGAGCATAATTGAACGAAATGTTCAAACTCAATTCACTCTCTCGCCTCCGACTCCTTGTGCGCATGAGTCTCGACGAGCGCCCAGTGGTCGAAGTCGTTCGATCTGGTTGCAACGTAATTCCGTGTCTTGTCCTTCAGATTGGTGGTGCTGGCGTAGAAAATATTGGCATCAGCCGGCCGTTCATCACGATTGGTGCCTGACCCCCCCTCGGTCAGGGTCCGAGGGGGTCCCCGTGCTTGACCATCACTGGCCAGCTGCCGCCGAGCCCGTGCCCGACGCCTTGCGACGCCTCCCGCTTCGCCTCGAGTGTCGCCTCCGACGGGCGCGGAGGCCTCCTCCGCGATGCCTGGCCCGTTCTCCTCGGCTGCACTGGCCCCGTCGGAGGTTTGGCCAGCTGAGCTGGCGGCCCCTCCACCTGGAGCGCCGTCCTCGCCGTCACCTCCGCCCTTCTTGCTGTCGCCGTTGCCCGTGCCCTGGGCTTTGCCATCGCTTGACCGCCTCTTCTTGGCGTGCCGCTTCGTGGCGGCCTTCTGGTGGTACTCTCAAGCTGTCTGGACAATTGCATTACTTCCGCATCCTTGCCGCCCAGTGTCGCCTTAACCTCCTGGAGTTGGCGTTGTAGTCTCTCGAGGGCGCTCTTCTCCTCTGCAGTGCACTCCAGGGTTTCCTGGGCCGCGAAGAACGTCTCGTCCCACTCGATCGCGAACATCTTGCCCGACTTGGCTGGGGCCGACTGCGCCTCCAGCCCCTCGGCCTTGGTCAACGCCGCCGTGGCAGTGCGTTTGGTGGCGAGCGCCTCTGCCAGAGCCCCGGCTGCCTTCACCTCCTCCTCCTCCTCCTCCTCCTCATCTTCCTCCTCCTGGCTGCTGCCAGGGTATCACGGTGGCGGACGACGTTGTCGACCGCTTGGCTGTGGAGGTGCTCCGCGTTCTTGAACTCGCCCTCGCACCTCTTGAGGTGCTCGACTGGTGTGTGTGTGTGTGTGTTGTGTGTTGTATGTGTTGTGTGTTGTGTGTTGTGTGTGTGTTGTGTGTTGTGTGTGTTGTATGTGAGTTGTGTGTGTGTGTTGTGTGTGTGTTGTGTGTGTTGTGTGTTGTGTGTGTTGTGTGTGGTGTGTGTGTTGTGTGTGTTGTGTGTTGTGTGTGTTGTGTGTGTTGTGTGTGTTGTGTGTGTTGTGTGTGTTGTGTGTGTTGTGTGTGTTGTGTGTTGTGTGTTGTGTGTGTGTGTGTTGTGTGTTGTGTGTTGTGTGTTGTGTGTGTGTGTGTCATGGTTTGATGCTGCCGTCTGCGCCTGCCCGGTCTCCCGAGGCCTCCACGGCTTGCTGGAGGAGCCGACGCGCCTGGCCCGCGCAGCCTCCCCTGCCGCCCTTGCCGTTCCCGCGTTCGCCTCCCGCGTGGGAGGCACTGCGGCTGCCGATGCGCCTCAGGATGCCGACAGGCGTCGCTCCACACGCCGAAGAAGCCGTCGTCCGCGCAGCAAGCCTCGTGCTTGCTGGAGAAACGGACGCGCCTGGCACAGCACCATCTTCGAGCCACACGTGTTGCACTTGCTCCCGTTCTCCCCTAACTTGCTGTTCCATTCGCATCTCTTGCAATTGTCGCAACGAAACCAAAGCCGTGTCATTCCAAACCTTTGTGCGTGAGGCACAGTCCCGCAATCGCTTCGGGGAAGCCCAGATGATGCGACCCAGCTCTCCTCTCTGAGCCACAATTGCTTGAGGGGAGCGGAGGAAGGAGGTGGAGGAGTCCGAGGAGGGACAGGCGAGGTGGAGGGGGGGGAGGGGCGGAGGAGGGAGGAGGGGACGGAAGGAAAGGTTGGTTGGAGGAGGGAGGGCGGCAGGGGGGGGAGGGTGGGGAGGAAGGACGAGCAGGAAGAAGGGTCCGGAGAAAACAAGAGCCCCCCCTTCTGCATGCGGGGAGCAGCACGACAAGAACCACCATCACGGCATCGACAGCGGCCACGGCAGCGACGAGCAGCGGCCGCCGACGTGGCGCGGCCGCCATCCCGCCGCGCGGGCGAGGACGTGCGCAGGGAGCCCAGCGCGCCGTGGCCAGCGAGCAAGAGGTGGGGGCGGTCGGGGGCGTCGAGGAGGGGGTCCATTGCAGTCACAGGGGGGGGAGGGGGGGGGGCGGCCCCCCTGCTCCTAACCCACTCCTCCCTTTTCGCTCCTCCTCCTCCCTCTTCGTCCTCCTCCCCCCCTCGTCCTCCATCCCCCCCGTCCTCCTCCCACCTCGTCGTTCTCCTCCTCCTCCTCCTCCTCCTCCTCCTCCTCCTCCTCCTCCTCCTCCTCCTCCTCCTCCTCCTCCTCCCCCTCCTCCCCGTGGGGGTTAGCCTCATAATTCCTCGGAGGCCCGGGCCTCGCGAGAAGCCCAGGCCCCCCTCGCTCTCGATAAACCCAGGCCGTTCTTGACCATCCTCGGCTTCCCGAGGCCGAGAGGGTTGAAGACATGGCTCGGGGTGACAAGCTTCGGCCACGCGCCAAGGGGGTGGGGGGAGGGGGGAAGGCTTCATAGCAGCACCCCCGCTTCTGAGAAGGCGCGGGCCCTGGCTGTAAGTGTCAGGCCCGCGCCTTCCAAGACACAGCCTCCCTCTACGAAGCCTTCCCCCCTCCCCCTGCCCCCTCGCGCGCGCCGCCAACATCCTCGGCTTCCCCGAGGTCGAGACAGTTGAAAAAACATGGGTCGGGATGCCAAGCTGGTTCCGCAGAAGGGATCGAAAGTCGAGGAAGAAAAAACGCCATAATCATAGACTTTTGGCCCTCCGCGCGGGTTTCTCGAATCCGCGCTGGAGCCCCCCGGCGGCGCCTCCGGCGGCGCCCCTGGCGCGCTCCGCGCGCCAGGGAGGGGGGTCCAGCGCAGATCCAGGAAATCCACTCGGAGCGCCAAACGTTTATGTTTACAGCGTTTACTCTTCTTCTGAAGCTGGTTCCGGGGAAGGGATCGAGAGGTCCTGGGGCTGGCGGCTCGAGAGAGCCGAGGCGTCGCACAGTCCCAGCGACTTGTCCTCACTGAAGCCCCAGCCGCGGTTCGCGACCCAGACCTGGCGAGCAGAGGGGAGGAGGGGGGAGATCGCGAGAGCCAGAGCACGGTGTGCTCGAGCCGCCTCCACTCGGAGGCGGCGGCGCGGGCCACGGGCGTGCAGGGTTGGAGCGCCTTCGACGGCCGCTGGGGGGGCGCCTCGGCAGTGGAGCCGCTCAACGAGCAGGTGCCAGAGACCAGGGCCCACGCCGTCAGGACACGGGGGCTTGCCTCTGTGGCCAGGCGATCGCAAACATGGATCAAGGGCGCGTGGATCAGCGAGACGGGTCCCGCTTCCATGGGGAATCGCGGATTTCCGCCGCCGAACGCGGCGGCATCGGCTGCGTTTTGGGGAGGGCACCTCCCCCGATTCATGGATTCGGCGACCGCGCGCCAAATCCATGGATCGCTAATCCATGCTTGCGCGCCCCCGAATATGGAAGAGGCAGCGGCCAAGATCGGCAAGCATAAACTGGCAGTCGGGGCCCTGAAGAAGGAACCCTTTTCGTTGGGGAGGGGCTGCGTGTTCCTTGATCGTTCTGCAGTTTGCCTTCTGTTTTCCTCCGGTTTTCCATGGGAAATCGAAGTTCAACTTCAGGGAGAAAGGGGCCCCGTTCCTGAATTAAGGTTCCTTAGGTCAACGCCCCGACGGTACAGAAGTGCACGCTGTCAGAGGTCCGTGCGAAGTTCTTGGGTCGGCGCTGGGCTCTCCATGGCGGTGCCTCCAGCGCCGCCCGTGGCGCGCGGTTCGCGGGGGGGGGGGGTCCAGCGCTATAGGGCCGTCTTGGGGCCCTTCGCCTTCCTCCTCGTCCTCATCCTCCTTCATTCATTTCCTGCCTTAGCCTCCTCCTCCTCCTTCTCCTCCTCCTCCTCCTCCTCCTCCTCCTCCTCCTCCTCCTCCTCCTCCTCCCCCTCCTCTTCCTGCTCCTCCTTCTCCTCCCCCTCCTCGTCCTCCACCTCTTCCTCCCGTTCGGGGGCCGTCTTGGCAGCCTTCTGGGAGCCTCGTGGCACCGATCTTGGTGGCGTCTTGGGCCGTCCTGGGGCGTCGGGAAGCCGAAAAGGCCAGAACGCGAGGATCTTCCAGACGTTTTAGAATCATATGAACTTGACTGTTGGGGCCCTCTTGGTGTGCTCATGGAGGCCTCTTCGAGCGTCTTGGAAGCGAGGGGCAGGGGCTTGGCCAGAGCCGATGCCCGGTCGTGGCTGGTCGCGGGGTGGGGTGGGGGGGGCGTGAGCTGGAGGCGCGCCGATTGTTCAAGAGGAAAAGAGACACAGGGACACAATCGTATGTTTGACATTCCCACTTCTCGATCGAATTTGGATGCTCCCGCGGGCAGTGCAACGAGGGTTCAGGCGTGGCCCTGCAGTTCATCTCCATCTCGGCCCGCGCGATAGAGTCGAGTTGTCGCTAGATTATGCTCGCCGAGTGGGCCCCCGGACAGCGGGGCGGTGGGGGGACAGCGGCCCTTTGGGGAGGGTAGGGGGGGGGGGGCTCCCCTGGTGAGGCTTCTGGTCGCGCACAGACGGCTCCCCCTGGGTAGTCCCAGCTGGCCTCCGCAGGCGCTCCGAGCAGTCCCAGCTGGCCTCGACAGGCCTCTTGAGCAGTCCGGGGCGGTCTCGGCACCCCGGCGCCGCCTCCGGCGGCGCCCGTGGGGCGCTCCACGCCCCAGGGTTTTGGTGTCGAGGCCGCTCTGGCTTGCTCGTGCACTGGGGGGGGGCAAGAAGCGCACACGTCTCGGGCCCCGTTCGGGCCCGAGGGGGGCCCCTTCAGGGCTTCAGAGCACCGAAGTTGCACCCTGCTTCACCCCCCCCCTCATGTATCGCCCCCCAGTTGCGCAACGCCCAAGTCTGTGCGCAACCCGGAGCCTTTACCAGGTTCCCCAGTACAGTGGGGCCCACATGCCAAGAAACACCCTGCTTGCCTCCAGGGTGCCCTGGGTTTCTTTGGTTTCGATGCTTTTGCGACGGAAAGCGTGACCTTCCCATACCAAAAACACTATGGACGTCCTGGGGACTCAGGGTTGGCTTTCTTGTGGACTGACCTCCACTGTGAGCCATCCCGCCTCGTCTGGGGAAGCCTTCTCGGAGATGTCCGATCTTCCCCAGGGTGGCCGGGCATCCGCCCCGCCCCCCGCTGCGCGCCGCCGAGGGGGGAGGGAGGGGGGGCCAGAGGGGGAGCAGCTCGGGGTGCGGAAGGTCGGGTCCAGGCCCAGAATACTCCGCCTCTGGCTCGAAGGCGAAAAAAGATCGATTGCACGTACCCATCGGTCGTTGAAAGCAGGTATTTCTGGAGTCCCAGATTCCAATCTACTCTGAGCGCCTTCCTACTTCAATGATCGAGTGGCTTCACCTACCGCGAGCCCCTGCCGAAGCCAACCCGCTTCCTCTTTAGGGGGCGGGCGGACACCCTGTCTGTTTTCAACGCCTTCTTACTTCATGCTTCTACATACTTCTTCCAACCGATGGGTAAGAGTGACCCTTCGCCGGAGTGACCTTTGATGCGGGCACAGTGGGGTCCCCAGATCGACGAGCGCGATGCGGCAGTAGCGTCTTGCGCGCTTGTGTTTGATCCCCCCGCGGCCCCAGAAAAGCCGCGCACCAAAGGTCACTCTTACCCAGGGTCACTCTTGCGTGTAGCCGAAAAGGGCATACACATGTTCGCCTGCGTGGGCCCCAAACAGTGCATTTCGATATATATATATATATATATATATATATAATATATATATATTATAATAATATTCTATTATAGTTATATACAAATGTATATATATACGTATATATATTATGTATATATATATATATATATATATATATGTGTACATATGTATATATGTATGTACATGAATGTATCTACGTATGCATGCATGCATGTCTGTATGTATGTATGTTGTGCCATGTGTGTGGAGCAATATAGGTGGTGCGATCTACGTGGTGCAACTTACGTCGTGCCACATATGTTGTGCACATCTGTGTTGTGCAAACAAGTTCCGCAATATTTGTGGTGTTATCAATGTGGCGCAACGTCTTGTTGTGTAGTATCGAAGACGCCTACGGCGAATCACCGCCGCCCCCTGCCTTTCTGGAAACGCCTCCGTGGCCGAAAGTTGGGTCTGAGTTTGGCCAAGCTATCGGGCCACGCGTTCCCCGAGTGGGTTTCGAAAGCTTTCGGGGAACACGGAGTCGGGCGAGCTATCGGACCAGGTGGTTTCCCAGTTTTGGGCCTTCCTGGAGGACGTCTTAGAGGGCTTTTGGGCCATCTTGGAGGCTTCTTGCGGGCCTGTAGGGCCGTCTTAGGCCATCTTGAGAACATCTTGGGCCGTTGTGGGTTCATCTTCGGGCCATCTTAGCCGTCTTGACGACCATCTTGGGCGTCTTGGAGGCATCTTGGAGGCCATCTTGGCCGTCTTGGAGGCGATCTTGGACGTCTTGGGGGCCTCTTGGGCCGTCTTGGGGCCTTCTTGGGGCCTTCTTGGGGACCTCTTGGGCTGTCATGGGGCTATATTGGAGGCCTCAAATTCGCTCTTGGGTCGATGTTGGGGGCCGCTTGGGCCGCATTGGGCCGTTGGAGAGCTGAAGAGGAGCAACAGCCAAAATCATTCAAACACCTTAGGAACGTCTGGTTTGTGCTTGCACGTGAAGGAAGTCTCGAGTTGTTGTCTGTTTGTCGCCCATTGGCTTTACAGAGCATGAGTCGCCTCTTGATGATGATGCAACCCTGCCGTGGTAGATCATGTTTTTGGCGAGCTTCCTCTTGCCTCTGTTGCCGTCTGGCTCTATTTTCCTACTTTAAGCTTCTCTGGTCCAGAGTCGATGGACGCGGTCGCCATCCCTGGCGGGGCGGCCGCGTTGCCGGCCTGGGTGGTGCTGGCGCTGGAGGCCGCGGCTTTCCTTGTGCCAAGCTGGGGCCCCGGGCAGGCGGCCTGCCCAGACCTCTCGTGCCCTGCCTGCCCAGCGTGCCCAGAGGCGGCGGCGTGCGCGGCCTGCCCGGAGGCCGCGGCCTGCCCGGCTTGCGCGCCGCCTCCCTGCGCGGCTTGCCCGGCCTGC